TTTTTTTTTTTTTTTTTTTTTTTTGCGGTACACGGGCCTCTCACCGCCGTGGCCTCTCCCGCTGCGGAGCCCAGGCTCCGGATGCGCAGGCTCAGCGGCCATGGCTCACGGGCTCAGCCGCTCTGCGGGATGTGGGATCCTCCTGGACCGGGGCACGAACCCGTGTCCCCTGCATCAGCAGGCGGACTCTCAACCACTGCGCCACCAGGGAAGCCCGCCCTGTTGTTTTTTTAAAGGAAGGAAAACTTCTCTCCCTGGACTGCTCACCTTTACCACCTCCTGGGTTATTCTGAGACTCAGTAAAGTAATCCAGCCCGAGCCAATGCCTGCCGTCCACCAGCCCTCCCTCTGTGCGTGTCAGTCTCCTTCCTTCTGAGGCCTTCCTTCACCCTTCTTGAAGGTTAACGTTTTCTGAGTGTCTTTTGGACCCTGCATGCCCCCCACTCGGTTGAATGGGCCCTCCCGCAGTGCTCCCCCGCCACCACTGTCCCCTGGCCGGGAGGACGCCAGCCACCTTCCTCTGCACAGACGTTCCACTTGGCTACATCGGTCATGAGTGCGTTGGAGCTCAGGTCCTGCAGTTTGCAGTGGTCGCTGCTGACCAGGGCGATGTTGGAGGGCTTGAGGTTCCTGAAACCGAGAGGCGCGCCCTTCCACCCACTGCCTGGCAGGGCCACGTCCGTCTGTGAACCCTCCGCTCCAGCCACACCCAGGGCCGCCACAGCAGCCCACACCCCTCCTCCTCTCTCCTCAGTAGATGCCCTGTTCAGCCACTTCTTGAATATCGTTTTCTGTAAGCATAAATATACTGTTATTTCAAATGGGAAAAACAAGCCAACTGCAAGTAAGGAAACACCGATCCTCCCGGGGTCCCTCCGCTAACGTCCTTCCAGATCTCAGCTGACATTAACACGGAATCTCGAGCATTTCCTTCCTACATTTGGTTCACACAGTTTTCTCTCCTCCTCTAAATACGGCACTGATCCTTCAGATCACGATTCTGGAGAATGAAACTGGCAGGTCAAAAGCTCAGCCTGGGAGTGCCCAGAGGCCCTCGGGCGGCCTAATCTCTTCGTCAGTGCTGTTATCTGGTTCTTCCCTTGCACTTTAGAACCAACTGCCCTGTCTGTGCATGGGGAGGGTCGTGGAGGGGGTGATGTTCTCTTTAAGCCAGGGAGGTGCTCTGGGAGGGGGAGGGGCCCATCCTTGTCCCAGCTGCACCTCTCTCCCTTGGGCCCGCGCCCGGGCGCTGCCACCTGGAGGTGCCACCCCCAGGAGGTGCCTTTTCTCCTCAAGCAGCCTGGCCACCCGGTCACCTGTGGATAATGTCCAGCTGGTGCAGGTACTCCAGCGCATTCAACACCTGGCCCAGCATGTTCTGCATCCACTGGGGAAAGAAGGAGAGATGCCAGGACTGGGGGGGGCCTGAAAGCTCCCAGGTGGGCCTCCCAGCTGCTCTTAGGCAGGTCAGTGGCCACTCAGAGCAGCCAGCAGGGTCGTGGCCAGTTCCCACCCTGCGTCTTGAAATGGGCCTGAAGTGAGCGGCCAACAGCTCAGAGCCAGTGCGGGAGCTTCTGCTGCAGGCTGCTTCAAGGCCCTCTGGACAGAAATGCCCTGGTCTCCAGACCCCCCACTCCTGTCTCCAGCAGACCCCGGGGGCCCTGGGGCTCTAGCCCCGCCCGGGTCCCACCCCATGGGTACCAGAGATGCTGAGGTCTGCAGCTGCTACTTGGGGTTTGCCTCTCCAGGGCGTTAGAATGGAAAGAGCCCTGAGAGAGAACATTCTGAAAGCAGTTTGTGTCAGAAACAAGATCCACCTGGTTTCCAGGGCAGTGATGTTCAAACCGTGTTCCTAGGAACCCTGGATTCCACCTGGGGTGTCAAGAGAGGGGCTGAGCAGGCAGGACCCCGGCGTTCCTGCCACACCACCTTCCACTGACCCCCAGACCCCTGACTGGAGTAGCTCTGCTTTCCTTACTGGGGGTTCTGAGAACATCTTTGTGCTCGACAGGGTTCTACTACAAACAGAAAGTTTGAAACCCACTCAGAGGCTGTCTCTGAGGCCCACTTTGGAGCTGCGTGCCCCTCAGAACACCCCAGCAGGGTCGCAGTGCCTGGAGGCCCAACAGAACAGAGGCGTGTTCAGAGCAAAAGCAGGCAAAATTTATTTGGGGTGGGTCATAGACCTAAATGTGAAAGCAAAATGGATCCAGCTTCAAGGGCAACAGAGGAAAATATCGTCATGACCTTGGGGCGGGGAAGGCTTCTCTAAAGGCTCAGAAGACACCAACCTCAGGCAAAACACTGATGAACCAGAGTTCATTACAATTAAGAAAGTGAACTGGCAAGCCACAGACTGGGAGAGGACATCTGGACACTGTGTCCATAATATATAAAGAGCCACTAAGAATCAACAAGAAAAGACGGACAACCCTAAAGTTTAAATGGGCAAGAGACCTGAACAGGCACAAAAGAAGACATCCAAATGGCCAAAAGGTGCTCACCATGACTACTCAAAATAACTGAAACGAAAACGTAATTTTTAATTAAAATTAAGAAGACTGACACAGTGAAATGTGGGCCAGGATGCAGAGCCAGAAGACTCACAACTTGGGAGGAGAATCAACACCGAGTCAACCAACCATCCTGGATAACTGGGACACTGGCTAAAGCAGCACACGCACCCATTCTGTGATCCAACGACTCCACGGTCACGCAGAAAATGAATGCTTAGGGCCATCAAAACACATGCCCAGCAGTGTTCACGGCAGCCCCTCTTCATAATAGCCCCAAACTGGAAGCAACCCAGACGCTCACAGCGCTGGACCAGATACACTGCTGGTGACGTGGCCATCTGGCAGAGTGGAGAGGGATGGTCTCCTGACACACTCACAGGTGGGTAAATCTCAAAGCACTGGGATGAACGCGAGAAACCAGACACAAGCAAACAACATGCTGTAGGAGCCCATCTAGGAGAACTTCAGGGACAGGCAGAAGTCGAACGCTGGGTACTGGCTGGGACTGTCTGAAGGTCCAGGAACGCTCTGACCTCATGTGAGGGAGGGGACGGGAGTATCTGCCTATGCAAAACACACCAAGGTGTACACTTAAGATCTGTGCACATTATGGTGTGCAAATACCTTCATTCATAACTGTCGGAAGAAATGAGACCAGACTCCATCGGTGCCTGCCCCTCTGCCCCCCGCTGTGGGGCCTGTGGCATCACAGGGTCCAGGCAGCCCCCAGGCCTGGTGCCCCAGAGAGTCTGTCTTACCTGGGAGTCAATGACTCTCTTTGCCGCCCTCTTCTTCTCAATGACATTCTGGAAGCTTCCCTCGTGGAACTCCATCACCAGGCAAAGGAACAGAGAGGAGATCTGCAGGGGACACAGCCCCTTAGCCAGGTGCCGAGTTCTGGCCTCCAGAGGCCCAGGCCTGGGGGCTTCCGGGCCGTCACCCGCTCCAGGTCTTTCCTCCCAGCCAGGCCACCACCGGCAGTGACTATGGGAGAATGCCCCCTTCTGTGGGGGGGACAGCCCCTCCTGAGCAGCTCCCGCCTCCGCCTCCTCTCTCCTCCCCCCATCCCCCCCCCCCCCCATCTACACTAAGCTGCTTTAGGAAAACCTAAAGGGGTGCGGGGTCTCCTGGCCACCGCACACGTAGACCACCGTGCCTGGGGCACCGGGCCCTTTGTCCCTTAGGGCTCAGCTGAGATCCACTCCTCCCTCTGAGGGGCCTGCACCCGACAGGACCCCAGCAGCCCCCGTCAGGCCTCTGAGAGCACCCTGCCTTCCCTCCCACAGTGACATGTCCTCTTGGCTTCTCTGTGTCCCCCTTGAGAGTGTGAGGGGGTGCTCAGAAAATACTTGGGGGGACAGGTGGTGAGGGGCCCTCCCCACGGCTTTCCTCAGGGCCCAGCTGACGGGGAGGGGGCCCCTCCCTCGGTTGTCAGCCCAGTTGGGGGTCTGACTGTGGGGTCACACCTGGCCCCCTTCCCCTCCAGCCCCCCGCATCCCCCAGCTCAGCCCCATGTGGAGTAACCGGCAAGCTTCCGGCTCCTTGAAGATGAGAAATCAGCTCGCCAATGGGACCAAGCACGGGGCTCGGGGCGACCAGACCCAGACTGGAATCCTGCTCGGTTGTCGCCAGCTGGTTTCTCCCAGCCTCCACTTCTTCCGGAAAGTGGGACAGTGACCCTCCTATGCAGAGGCTGTGGAGCGCACGTGAGACGATGCCCAGAGAGCTCCCGGTGTGGCCCCATGAGTGCTGCGGCCATTGGTGCTCGGGGGGCACAGCGGGGGGTGCTCTGTGCCCGCCCTGAGTGCCTGCTGGGCCCGCGGGGTCGGCTCTGACCCACCTCACTGTTCCACATGATGAAGAGCTCCTGGTAGATGGAGACGTGGGCATGCTGAAGCTTCAGCAGTGGCATCAACTGCGAGGCGAGGCCAGAGAAAGTGGAGATGTTAGGGAAACACTGCTTCTAGAGGTGCTTCTCTGTCACACGTCCCAACAAAAACCACACGCTTCCAGCTCTGAGCGCGGGCCCAGGGAGGGTGGGCAGCCGGAGGTTAGGGGCCAGACAGCCCAGGGTAGGTCCTGTCTCTGGCATGAGCTGGCTGTGCTGTGTGACTGAGGAGAGGCTCCTCAACCTCTCTGAGCCTCCTAGCCTCATCTGGAAACAGCAGTAACGGTGGTATCTGCTTCACAGGGGTGTCGGGAGGACTAGGTAAGCCGATGTAGGCAGAGTGCCTGGTGCGTTGGAAACAAGCACAGTCCGGGTTGGCTGACAAAGGGGGTGTGGCCAACGGGAGGCCGGCCACTGCGGCTGTGCCCAGGCCACCTGGCCTCCTGGCTGTGTACACTAGAGGTCCCAGGGCCCCTGCCCTGAGCTCAAAGTGCTTTGCAAACGAACACAATTAGGCAGTAGAAATGGCTCCCTTAGCGACTTAGGCCAGACGGACAGCTGCTTATGACGGCAGGTTGGGTGTGAAAGAAGGTCGCCTAGTGGGGTGGAGAGGGGGCTGTGATGCTGGGGGGCGCGCGGGACGGCCCCCCCACATTCTTTCTTTCATGAATGTGGCCTGGGTCCATCACCATGTGTCAGACACACTGTGGACAGAAGAGCTGTTTGCTGGCAAAGCTCAAAAGCTGGTGATTCCGGAAAAAAGACAAACAAGTGACCATTAGCTAGGAAGGCAGACATTCAACCTCATGTGAAATTCAAGAGAAGCAGAGAAAAATGACACGGAGCCTTTGCCGGCAAATCGAAGTATATGCAGCTGTTTCTGCTGTTATTATAAATTAAGATGTTACTGTCGGTTCTGATTGGCAGCCTTAAGAAACGTCAGAATTTATATTTTCTTTGTTAACCAATTCTCTATTTTCCAAATATTCTATTGTAACTGATACTTTTACAATTGAAGAAAAAAATCTTTTAAAAGATGGTTATTGGTAGATCAGCCTAGGGACCTAGCCAACATTTAAAGGTTATCATCTTCTCTGAGAACATATATTCTAAGCTGTCAGCACCTGGATTTAGAAATGAGTGTTTGGTACACAGACTCCCTTCATGACCTGGGGGCCTCTGACTTCATAGCACAGGGCAAGAGCTGGTTCTGACCCTCCATGCCTCCACCAGGCTTCCACCCATCATGCCACAGTGGGGTGCAGAACAGTCTCTGTGTGTCCTGCATCATGTCCTGTAGAGAGGGAACCATGCAGAGAGTTACCTCTTCCAGGGCCTCGTTGGCCTGATGCTCATCAATGCACTCCACCTGCAGGGGCACAAGAGCACTAGGTTGGTAAACGTGCAGTAAACGCCCTCGTCATCATCGTGACCACCATCACCACCACCATCACCATCACCATCACCACCATCACCACCATCACCGTCACCACCATCACCACCATCACCATCACCACCACCATCACCATCACCACCACATCACCATCACCATCACCACCATCACCACCACCACCATCACCATCACCACCATCACCACCACCACCACCACCATCACCATCACCACCATCACCATCACCATCACCACCACCATCATCACCATCATTATTCACCAGGGCTGCCAGGCGCCTATATTCATGCCCCATCACACACCACCAGATGGGGCCTGGAGATGTTCCTAAGGAAGGGATCCAAAAATCCTCTGAGCCATTAGGTCACCCTTGCCCCTATTGCAAGGATAAGTTTAGGATCACATAACGTAACTCCAAGGAATCGTTAGAGGATCCATCTTCAGACCGTCTTGAAAGCAGGGGAGGAAACAATGTGTCGCCCCCAGAGCCAAAGAGCCCTGCGGCGGCTCGCGAAGCACCAGCCCCGCCACTGTGTGCCTCACCCGCATTGGGAGGCTTGTCCCGGTCACTGAATGTGGGCGGCGGGGAACGCGTGGAGAGGGGGAGAGGGTGGTGGTCAGGGCAGCACCGAACTTTGAGTCTGCAGCATACTTGGCGGCAAAGACTGTGCGTTCATGCTGTCACCGCGTCTTACCAGATCCTTACCCAGAACTTTTGCTCATAAGATCTACAAATGAAAAACTCTTGTAACTAGGGTGATCGTAGATGAAAATGCAGTTAGTGGGTGATTCCCCAATCCACGTAAAGACCCCAGACGCAGCGGCACCATGCATCCCTTCTTTCTGTTCCAGGGGCTCGCGCTGAAGTCATTTTGGCCAAAAACATACTGAAAGCCTTCAAATTACCACCTCTTTTGACCTAGAAATCCCACCCCTAGGAATTTATCCCAAGGAAAGCATGGATCCTCGAAAAAGTTAACTATAAGGTTGTTTATCAGAGTTGCTTATACAGAGTGAAAAATCGAGAACAAGCTAAGCCCTGAGTGGATGGGTTGGGTCAGTCACGGCACATCAAGCAGGGGGTCCACACGGCCACCAGAGCCAGGGAAGGAGGAAGATGCGTCAGCAGCACCAACAGCATTTGCCATACACTCAGTGGGGAAAAGCACATTATCAAGTTCAGCACCATTCTTTTGTCTTGTTTTGTTTTGTTTTGTTGCGGTACGCGGGCCTCCCACTGTTGTGGCCTCTCCCGCTGCGGAGCACAGGCTCCGGACGCACAGGCCCAGCGGCCATGGCTCACGGGCCCAGCCGCTCCGCGGCATGTGGGATCCTCCCGGACCGGGGCACGAACCCGTGTCCCCTGCATCGGCAGGCGGGCTCTCAACCACTGCGCCACCAGGGGAGCCCCATTCTTTTTTTTAATATTTATTTATTTATTCATTTATTGGGATCTTAGTTGCGGCACGCGGGATCTTCATTGTCGCGTGCGGGATCTTTAGTTGCAGCATGTGGGATCTAGTTCCCTGACCAGGGATCAAACCCGGGGCGCCTGCACTGGGAGTGCGGAGTCTTAGCCACTGGACCACCAGGGAAGTCCCAGCACCATTCTTGTAAAAAACCAAGAATTTTATAAATGCTTACCAAAAAACCCTGAAAGGATATACAACCCCCCTCCTCCATTTTGTTTAGAAAGATTGACTGACTTTTAAAAAAGTTCCTCGGGATTGACATACATACTAATATGTATAAAATGGATAACTAAGGACCTGCTATATAAAAAAATAAATAAAATAAAATTCAAAAAAAAGAATAAAGCTCCTTGATGGTGAAAGCAGTCATCCACCCTGCCCCATGGGCCCGTGAGACAACGGGGCAACCCCACAGCCAGCCAGCAATGGAGCAGGAGGCCGGTAAGGACTTCCAGTCCTGCTGCCTCGGGGCTGAGCTGCTGCACAGACAGGAGGCCTGGCAGGGTGGAAGGGCGCCCACAGCGGCCACCAACAAAGCTCTTCCCTAGACCCTCCATTCATCTGGACTACCTGGTCTTGCACACGCTAAGGGCTGTGCTCCTGCAGGTGTGCACTCCACCCGGCCATGCCAGCCCTGGTGAGGAGGTGAAGGAAGGGCCCGGGGTCAGCGTTCTGTCCTTAAACCTGTGTGACCTTGGGCAGGTCCCTGGCCACCCCCTCCAGCCTCCCTATCCTTGGCTGTAAAGTGGGGTCATCAGTCCCGCCTTGCTGAGGTGGTGGGAGATGAAAGATGAGGCTGATGCCGGGCACGATGTCCGCGTAAATGGTGGGTATGGTTGCTGGTGGAGTGAACGTGAGCATTCCTTCTCCATCAAGGTGAGAGAGGTGAGTCGGCGGGGAAGCCCGAGGAGCCTCATGTCACCCCCCCATCCCCGTCTATCCACCCCCCACCCCAGCCCGCTGGATCTTCCTTCGTGACTGCTGGCGGAGAGGAACCCGCTGTCACATCGCCTTTCTCTAATGTGTTTGGGGAGCCAGCCCCACTGGGTGCCACAGGCATGGCCTCTTACCTGCTTTATCACGTGCTTTACTTTGGTTTTTGTCTCCTCCACCAGAAGGTTCACCCCCAAGGCCCCAGGATTCAGCCAGTCCAAAATCTACCAGCAAAAGAGAAGTTTTCAGGAAAGCGTACACGTCTTTTCACTTCCCAAAGCGTGTGCCCACCTCCGGTGTCTTTTCCGGTCCTCCTAACTAATTTCCCTCGTGGGCTGGCAAACGAGGAAACGGCCCAGAATGCTTTGGGGGCCTGTGAAGGCAGAACTCGAGCCCATCTCTTTGAGGTCGATTCTGGAGCTCTGTCCACCACCCCACACCCCTTCTCCAGGCTGTGGTGAGGACCTGCAAGGCATCCAAGCACCAGCACCTCCCTGGGGCAGAGGGTTTCTTCACTCTCTCTAGCCCCCTAGGATCCCAGCTTCCAGCATCCACCTCCAAACTGGGCATCCAAACAAGAAAGTAACTGGTCCATAATTGGTGCCATCATAGTCACAGCCGTGTGTGTGCCTGGCACGTGCCAAGCACTTTACAGCCACCCACGCAGTCGGCGCTGTTGCTATCTCCTTGTTTACACTGGAGGAAACTGAGGCACAGGGAGCGGGGTCCTTGCCTGAGGCTACAACACTAATAACTGAGAGGGCTGGGAGTCGACTGGAGCTCTGGAGTCTGACTCCAGAGCTGGCGCGTCGAGCCAGACCTGCAGAGAGATGGCCGCCATGCCAGAACTCTGCGCAAGGAGGCTGAGGGATAGGTGAGCGTGGATGATGGGATGACAGTCATCAGAGGATGGGGGAAGGGGGCAGGATGCCGAGGAGGGCGCATAGGGGGTGGAGCCCCGCGTCTAAGGATTCTCAGAGTTCAGAAAAGTTTCAGGATTCTGTAATCCAGCCCGTGTGGCAGCCTGAATCCCGCTCAGGGAATAGCAGGGGTGTTGTACCGAGCCACGTACGCTGGTGAAGGAATGCACACTTAAGCATTCTTAGGGGGCAAGTTAAACAGTAAAATGCACCCCTGTCTTCGGATCAAGTCTTTCCCCCCCTTTAAAAGTAACTACTTTTAAAATTCTCTGGTCACCCAGAAGCTCACCGGCTTTACCACTGGCTGACACCCCCCAGTCTCCCACACAGAGGGGATTCTCACAAAGTGAGAAAAATCTAAAAGACCGATTATCGTCAAATTGATGATTTTTTTTTACAGAGACTAACAGTTAAAAAACTCGACATCTTATGCATTTAAACATTCGTTTGCAGCTTTCCTTTTGTTCTGTGAATTTTTCACGTCCTAAACATTTTCACAGGCCCTGGAAAAGGCCCAAGTTCCCCCAGCGAGGGACTACTGATGGGGTGTTTTAGGAGTTTGGGGGCGTCTGATTATGAATTCTGAATGTTCGAGGGTGTCCTGTCTCTATGGGCCGAAGCACATGGACCCATGGGTGAAAAGGATGAAGGTGTCGTCCATCCTCCCATATTCAGACTGGAGAGGCCTTAATTTCATCCACCATTTTAGAAAGCGGGAAACCCAGGCCCAGAGGGGCAAAGGGCACCCCGGAGGTCACGTCTGGAGGTACCGGAGATCACCCTATGAGCTAGAGGCAGATACTGGCCGCAACACGGGCCCCTTGCCTCCCTGGGGTCGGACCTGGCCCCTGGCCCCTCGTGACCGTTAAACCGGTAGGGGGCCGGGGGTGACGGCAGGAGATCCCGGTCCTGGGCTCGCCCCTGACCGTCGGCCCCTCGTCGCCCCCGCCTCCCCACCAGCGGACAACTCGGCACCTGGTACTTTTCCATTGTGTCTTGCGGGGAGACTCCCGGCCTCCCTGTCCCACCACTGGGCGCTGGGGCGCACCGCTAGCCCCAGCCGAGTCGGACCCTAAACTGAGCATGCTCAGTCTGGACCGCGTCCGGTGAGCGCCCATCCCCCACCCTGGGGGCGCCCTTCAGCCCCGGGTGCTGGCCTGATCCGGGGACCCTCCCTGCCCGAACAGTGTCACAGTGTCCGCTGGGGCACCCGCGCGTCTCCAGCAGGCCGGCCCTCAGGGAGGAGCGGGCGGAGCCTCGAGCGGGGAGGGCGGGGCCTCAAGTGCGGTGGGCGGGGCCTGAGCGCGGCGGGCGGCGCGCGGCCCCTTTAAGGTGCGGCCGGGGCGGGCCCCGCGGCGCGGCCCCTTTAAGGCTTGGCCTACGTGGCAGCCGCTGGAACCGCGGACGAGGAGCGAGGCCGGCCGCCGGCACTTCCTGTGGAGGCCGCAGCGGGCGCGGGCGCGGGCGCCGACGGGCCGAGCGCCGAGGGAGCGAGCGAGCGAGCTAGCCGAGCCTCCCGCCGCCGCCATGGGCCAGAACGACCTGATGGGCACGGCCGAGGACTTCGCAGACCAGGTGCGGCCTGCGGGCTCGGCCGGCCCCTCCCCCGGGCCTCCCGCCCGGAGCCTCCTCCCCCGGCCCCCCTCGGCCCCCTCTCCTGGATTCCCCCCGGGCCCCCCGCCCGGCCCGCCTGCACCCCCCGGGCCCGGCCCCGAGACCCCGGCCGCCCCCAGAGCCGGCCCCCGGCCCGCAGGGCCGCCCCGAGGCCTGGGCCGTGCCCTCACTCCCGATCCCACCGGAGGGATCGCGCCCCCTCCCCCAACCAGGGCCCTCCCTCCTGGGCTCGCCGCCCGTCCCGGCCGGGGGCACCCCCAAACCCGCCCCAAACCCGGCCTCCGGGCCCAGCCTGCCCTTGCGCCGCCCCCCCACCCGGGCTCTGGGTGTGTTCCCGGGCCCCTGCTTCGGCGCCCAGCTCGGCGGGCCCGTCCTCCCCAGCCCGGCCCGGGCCATCCTAGAAGCCGAGGGGCTGCCTCCCCGGCTCCGGAGAAGGGGCCCGAGGCCCCGGGGTGCGTGGGGCGCGTCCTCTGCATTCTACATGTTGGGTGGTCCCTGCACGCTTCTCCTTTTACTGGGCGCTCTTCGGGGGCGGGCTGGGGAGCTGATCCTGAACGGGGGTTGGTCAGGCTGGAGGCCTGGGGTCCTCCCAGAGGAAAGGGGGCGCCCTGGTATGCACCCCGCTGCAGAAAGCCACAGTACTTGTTTTCTCTTTCCCAGATGTGTTGGGTTCCTGGGGTCCCTTTGACCCTTCCCTGCGTTTTCCTTCCCTGTTTGGACTCTGCCCTGAGACTGAAATGAATGGGTATCTATCTGTCTGTACACAAACCTGGGAGGAGGGGAAGCCTATCTTCCTGTTTTTCCCCTTCCAAGGGTGTACAGGTGGCCTTCCGAGCTACAGGGAAGCCCTTGAAACAGGCCCTTGAGTCACCATTAAAGGTGTTCAAAAACTAGATGGACAGAACCAGATCCTGGAAAGGGGAAAGGACACAGCTTCCACCCTCTTTCTCTACGAAGCTTGGTCCAAAGAACATGGTGGTGATTATTCAGTCGTGTATCTTTTACTTCTAAAAGTATCCCGTTATGTCTACAGACGAACAGCCCCATCTCTGCCGAAGATCCATGTCTGGCCCAACTGTCATTCTTTCTTTGGTTCACTTACTGTGTGTGTGGCTTTGCCAGAGTTCACAGTAGTGAGGTTACATTTTTTATTTTTATGGAGGTGGTATTAGTTCATCATACTCTGAGGCTGGGCTTCTTGGAGGGTGTGTGTGTGTGTGTGCACTTTCTGATCAGTTATTGGTGAACAAGATTTCCTGTTGTTTCCCTCGAGGGGTGATACCTCTCTTGCGTGCTCTCCCAGTCAGGTTCTCCTAAGGGCTACTTTCCTGTGAGCTGATACTTTAAAAACCACTTTGGGGATAAAACATAGCAACTTGAAGAAACAGTTTTTCCTAAGGTCATGATTTTGTGTTTACAGACACAATCCAAACATTGTATCCCTCTCAGAAACAATTCACATCGAAAGCTCTCAGAAACCAAGTAGGCATGCTTAGTTTGTCGCTCTTCATTGCCATAGCCGCAGTGACCCAATTTTGTTCCCCCAAGTAGCAACTACCTAAGGAGACGGCTCCTTTTAGCCAAGGGAGTCATCAGAGCCTTGTACACTCACTCTGCAGCCCGGAAAAACCCTGGTTTTGCAAGTGAATTTCATAACCGAATCTAGATAAAATGTCTCCAGTCAAGTTGCTGCCAACTATCAAATGATAAACCCTCCTACTGCCAAAACAAAAACAAAAACAAAAAAACCCCACCAGACTCTTTTTACGTAATCCTTTCTTCTCTTTCTCCATTTTGTTTGCCTTCAATGAGAGAAGCAGAATCTTGGAACCAGAAAGGCCCTTGAGGGGCACACGGGGTTGGCCTGCACCAGTTTACTATGGGAAGGGAGGCCGGGCCTGCTGAGGCTCCTGGACTGGCCTGGGGCCATGGCCCTGGGAGAAGCCCAGTCTCCGACCTCGAGGCTAGTACCACACACAACGTGCTTCTAAAGCCTAGTGTTCCTCTCCTGGTACAAATGAAGGGAACCGCACAAAGCACTAGCGTCGTAAGAGGGCACGCGCTGCCTTAAAAAACGGAGAAACAGCGTGGACCGAGGCCGCGTCTGTCGGGCAGTGCAGGCCCCTGCTGTCAGTTTTTCACCAGCAGAGCCCACCTTGATGGTGACAGCTGTCAGCGGACCCCTCTGTGGGTGACTCAGGAGGGCGGGGCTCAGCGCGCTGTCACAGCCAGAGTTAGGAGCCTCTTCTGGCGGCAGGCTTGGTGCGAGAGGAGGATGTGGACAGATAGTGGGGTGCACAGCCAAGGCAGTGGCTTCCTGTGGACAGAATCTGGGGCGGCGCTTTTGTTTTTAACATTTACCCACATAGTACTAAAACAATAAAGGTGCTGCGAGTCCGGCTTTTAAGATGAAAATGATCTAATTTGAAGGGACTGGGGAAATGTCATCAAAGTCACTGATCATATAATATGACATATCTGTCTTTTCTAACCTTGTCTTCAGAAAACAAAAGCAAAAATGAAGTGACAGGATTTGGCCAGAAAGTCTGGGCTGCCGTGAACAGGACCTCAAAAGGGCCATGTGTTCTCTGAGAGTTATGACAGTAATCCTGAACCTTCGATACACCCGCACTGGGCCAGATCTTCCGTATATACGACTTCTGCCGCCCCTGGATCCCGGAGCTTGGCCATAGCGTTTCCACCTTTAGATGCGGAGAGGGAGGTCTGTGTGGTCTCGCGCAGCACGTGGTGGGTCAATATGTTGAGTCCACGTGTGGCTTGGCCGTCCTGCGACCTTGCCTTCAGGTCTGCAGAGGCGCGAGCGCAGGGTGAGTGGTCTGGTTACTTCCCGCTGGCAGGCTCTGCCCGAGCTGCCTCTTTGGTATCAGGCTCCTTGCCCTGCGTGGCCAGGGACAGTGTCCTCCTGCTGGAGAAAGTACTGAGAGTGCTCTGTGCGGGAGCTGGGCATTCGGAAGCCATCTGAGACTGGTCTGAAGGAGCCAGAGACTAATGAACTCGGCAGTCCAAAATTATGCACGTGCCCTGCAGCTGGAGGTCGCTGCCAGTCTGCAGACTGTAACTTGCAAGCACATTTGCACCAGTAAATAGGAGTATTAGCACTTAATGGGTTCTGCCTGGTGGTTCGTCACCAAGGTGACATAAGCTGCATGAGGCCTTGCTCTCCAGCATGGCCTTTGGTATTTTTTTTTAATAAATTTATTTATTTACTTATTTTCGGCTGCATTGGGTCTTCGTTGCTGCGCGCGGGCTTTCTCTAGTTGCAGCGAGCAGGGAGGGGCTACTCTGTTGCGGTGCCCAGGCTTCTAATTGCAGTGGCTTCTCTTGTTGCGCAGCACGGGCTGTAGGCGCCCGGGCTTCAGTAGTTGTGGCACACGGGCTCAGTAGTTGTGGCTCGCGGGCTCTAGAGCGCAGGCTCAGTAGTTGTGGCGCACGGGCTTGGTTGTTACGCGGCATGGGGGATCCTCCTGGGCCAGGGATCGAACCTGTGTCCCCTGCGTTGGCAGGCAGATTTTTAACCATTGTGCCACCAGGGAGGTCCCTGGCCTTTGGTGTTTTTACCTGTCCTCTGGCAGGACAGAGCCAGTCCTGGAAGCTGTCACCCCCAGGAGCTCCCCTTGGCCTCTGGTCAATCGCCGGAGAGCTAGGATGGCCTTGGCAGGACACTGAGCCGGGCATACACAGCCCCCAGGCCTCAGGGCTCTGGATTAACAGTGCGTGGATGACCGTCAGCATGGTGGGGTTCTGGTGACAGTGGGGGGTGGCTGCTGAGTGTTTTCCTCTTGTTCCTTTGCTCTGTCACCCCCTCCCCAGCAAGGGCTTCCTGCCTTATGCCAAAAAGGCGTGGGGAGAGGGCAGAGGGGAGCCGGCTGACTCACTCTCCCTGCTCACCGGCTTTAGACAGGAGGTTCAGAAAAGCCGCCCCGCCTCTTCTGGGCAGTGGGGTGGAGGCGTGCGGGCGGGGGCTGTGGCTGGTGAGGCCTGCTCCCGGAAGGTCAGGTGCAGCCTGGAGCTGCCTTCCTATTGGTAGGCGCTTTGTCCCACGTGGGTTTTTAGTAAAGAAAGCCAGGCCATCTCTCCAGCTCAGGGCCGGCTGACATCTCTTCCTGGACCTCGAGGTGCTGCGTGACCCTACAGAGCAGTGCTCAGGGAGACTTACTGGGGGTTCGGGGGTCTCGGTGGACGCACATGTGTGAGGCACTGAGCTCCAGTACCAGCCCTGACTCAGCCTGATGTGCGGGAAGTCACCTGGCCGCTGGTTCTAATCTGGGACGTGCAGGCTTGAGCTGGCCCTTGAGAAGGGCAGCCCCGGTCCTTGGTGATCAAGGAAGTCTGACTGCCTCTTTTCTCCGCCTCTAAGTTCTCGTGAAATAAGAATCGCAGACTGCTTTCCTCAGGTCCCTTTTGTCCTGAATGCTAAGACAAAGTAGGTTTTCCCGTGCTCTGTGGGACATGATCGCCGTATTCCCAGGGTTATGTCCCAGGTCAGGTGTAGCTACCCCAGTGGAGAGAATGGCTGACCGCCCCGCGGGTGCGCGGGCAGCAGGCAGCCCCCGGCCTTCGGGCCCTTTGTGTGAGCGGGAGGCCGGCTTAGCATACGCACCGGCCAGGTGGCTTCTGGGTGCCTGCTTCGGGGGCTCTTCTGCTGTGCCGAGGGGACACTGTCTAAAGCAGCGTGACGTGGGTCAGGGGCCACACGTTGAGACCAGGATGTGTGTAGGCAGTAAGATTAAAATTGGGTCTGGTCTTATGTTATATCACACCTAGTTTTTTTCTTTCCTGTTCAGTGCAAACAGGTGCCCATTAGCGCGTGGCTGGTTAAGAGAGGCTCCGGATCGGCCTGACTTATAAAATCGTCAGCCCTAAACCTAGGTCACGTATGACTTTGAAAATCAGA